ACCGTTTGACCCCCATGGCAACTTTGATGGGCCATAACTTTTGAACGGTATGTTGGATTTCATTCATTTAAACTGGAAAGTGATCAGTGCAGTAAGTTCTGCATATTAAATGAAGAGAGAATTCACAATAATGAATTTGAAATTTCTCATTGGGATACCTAGTACTATATATATTTATTCTTTATTTGCAATATAATTTTGTGTTGCATAAACCAATGTGTCATTACACATCAACCATTACAAAAAAAAAAGTAAATCTGGGAATAATAATGATTTAATTAAAACAACATGTGACATGCTTAAATATGGTCATGATGACATCACATCATGACCATATATAGGCACATCATGACTATATATGTTCATGATGACATCACATCATGACCATATATAGGTACATTGAGACTATCAATTCAATTCAACATTTACTTACTTCCTTTTTTTAACAGACATAAATAATTCAATGGTTTTTAAATAAATTGAAAATGCAGAAAATTGATAATGGAAATTTAATAGACAAGTAAAGGAAAAAGGGCAAAACCCGAGAAGATAAGAGAAACCAATCTTGTGGACTATACATATGGATAGATCAAAAAGCGCCAGAGGTCTATGAATTGTACACTTATTTAACATAGATATAATTTTTTGGGAGTTTGTATTATAATGTTGTAAGTATAATATTAATAATGTAGTTCCTCTCACCACAAAACAAAATTCAGCTGAATTTCGTAGGTGTGGGAATTACCCAGTTAACCTCATTTCCACCAAAATAAAAATAGCATATCTTTTTAGTTGTAGGGTTGGCCAATCAAAAGACAGTTTTTCAACACTGCAAGTCTCAATTCTACTCATTCAAATCATACTCTAGTTACATAAAATTGGGCTTTAAATAGGGGGTGTGGGTACGTTTATAGCCAAGGTGGAATTAAAGCTGAGGAACTATGGTAATAATATTAACTAGAAGTTAATCAAAAGGTTGGTAGACAACAGAGTTCTGTCAATGCTAAGGTGGAAGGACAACAGATAGAACAAGTACAATAATACAAGCATTTAGGGAATCTTCTGACAGATGATGGATATTGTAAGAAAGATATCATGGCAGGTGTGTCAATGGCAAAAGCATCATTCAAAAAGAATAAAGCCTTATTTACCAGCTGTCTTTGCCTTCAGTTGAAGAAGAGGCTGGTTAGGTCTTTGGTTTCGAGTGTGATGTGTGGTTCAGAGGCATGGACACTGAAGGAAGCTGACAGAAATAGGATTTATGCATGAGATTTGGAGAAAATTAGCAAACATCAGTGGAAGTTAATAATGAGAATGTATTTAGAAGAGTATGTGAACCACACCTACAGATAGCTAATGAAGTGATAGATCGGTCACTTATTACGACATGAAGGTCTCATCAAAGACGTGATAGAAGGAAGAATTTAAGGAAAAAGACCAAGAGGTAGGAGGAGAATGGTGTTGTTGGACGACATCAAGGAAGGAATGAGTTACCACCAGATGAAGAGGGATGCAGAGAACCGGGAGTACAGGGGGATGTCATGAGGGACCTGCCTTCGGCAGAACACTAATGATGATGATCAAAATATGTATATCATTTGATTATGGCTTACAAATTCAAGTGCTACATATGTCCCTAGTGTATAAGTGGTGTTTGAAATTTCATATAAATAATGAATGTATATCTAATATCAAAACTTGTAAAACTAAAGGTCATTTGAAATTGTCATTTGGCAATTACTATGTATAAATGGGAAGTACATACAATTTTAATGGCACCAAAACCACCAACAACATAATCACCAATGCCATCACCAAAAGCCATTACCAAAACATTGAAAAAACCCACACAGTCTTCAAAACTAACATGATTGCTAACACTGTACAGACATTGTGATCAACCAGACTTTTGTTTGATCACCAATAGCACTAACACATTTACATGGTCATCAATACTATCGCCCACATGGTTACCAAACACCAACGTTGGCACTATTATAGTACCTTTTTCTGCTAGCCATCTCTTATTTATTAATCATACTTTTTTTTGTAGTTTTCCTATATACTTAAATTGCATTAAAAATGTTGTGCAAGGTTTTAGTTGAATAATTTTTCATTGTCTCTTTTTAGTTTGTTTACAATGAAGAAGCACAGTCCATCAATGCAACAGTAACCATTCTGTGGAAAATGGATGGTGGTTTTGCAACACTGGATAATGTATATATTGGTAAATACATAAAAAAAGTTCATCAAATGGACGATTCCTCTACTGTAGATATTTCAAATTTCTTTTATAGCCTACACTTTTAGGTGACCGTTCTTTCCATTTGCATTGCTTAGACGCCTTTCAAACAAGCAGTTTGCCCTTCATATGAGAATAAGGATTAATCCTTCCCCTCCGATGAGCAGTTCTCCCGTAGCCATCCTTTTATATGGACAGGTTCCTTCACTATACACCTTTTTATGGACAGGTTCTCCCACATAGACGCTTTTTTATGGACATGGTCCCTGACATACACTACTTTTCATGGACAGGTTCCCCCACATACACCCCTTTTCATGGACAGGCTCTCCAATATACCATGTTCCCCCACATAAAACTTTAAATGGACAAGTTCTACATAAACCTTTTTAAATGGACAGGTACACCCACGTAAACCATTTTAAATGGACAGAAACCCCCACATACACCCCTTTTCATGGACACCTCTCCCATATATCATGTTCCCCCATATAAACCTTTTTAAATGGACAGGTTCACTCACTTACACCCCTTTTCATGGACAGACTCTCCCATATCCCACGTATACCATGGTGCCCCACATAAACCTTTTTAAATGGACAGGTTCACTCACATAAACCTTTTTAAATGGACAGGTTCACCCACATACACCTTTTTAAATGGACAGGTTCACCTACATACACCCTTTTAAATGGACAGGTTCACTCACATAACCTTTTTAAATTGACAGATTCACTCACATAAACCTTTTTAAATTGACAGGTTCACCCACATACACCTTTTTAAATGGACAGGTTCACTCACATAAGCCTTTTTAAATGGACAGGTTCATTCACATAAACCTTTTTAAATGGACAAGTTCACTTACATAAACCTTTTTAAGTGGACAGGTTCACCCACATAAACCTTTTTAAATGGACAGGTTCACCCACATAAACCTTTTTAAATTGACAGATTCACTCACATAAACCTTTTTAAATTGACAGGTTCACTCACATAAACCTTTTTAAATTGACAGGTTCACTCACATAAACCTTTTTAAATTGACAGGTTCACTCAATAAACTTTTTTTAAATGAACAGGTTCTCCAACATACACCCTTTTATACGGACTGGTTCACTCACATAAACCTTTTTAAATGGACAAGTTCACCCACATAAACCTTTTTAAATTGACAGGTTCACCCACATAAACCATTTTAAATGGACAGGTTCACTCACATAAGCCTTTTTAAATGGACAGGTTCATTCACATAAACCTTTTTAAATGGACAGGTTCACTCACATAAACCTTTTTAAATTGACAGGTTCACTCACATAAACCTTTTTAAATTGACAGGTTCACTCAATAAACTTTTTTTAAATGAACAGGTTCTCCAACATACACCCTTTTATACGGACAGGTTCACCCACACAAACCTTTTTAAATGGACAAGTTTACCCACATAAACCTTTTTAAATGGACAGGTTCACCCACATAAACCATTTTAAATGGACAAGTTCACTCACATAAGCCTTTTTAAATGGACAGGTTCATTCACATAAACCTTTTTAAATGGACAAGTTCACTTACATAAACCTTTTTAAGTGGACAGGTTCACCCACATAAACCTTTTTGAATGGACAGGTTTACCTACATACACCTTTTTAAATGGGACAGGTTCACTCTCATAAACCTTTTTAAATGGACAGGTTCTCCCACATATACCCTTTTTATATGGACAGGTTCACTCACATAACCTTTTTAAATTGACAGGTTCACTCAATAAACCTATTTAAATGAACAGGTTCTCCAACATACACCCTTTTATACGGACAGGTTCACCCACACAAACCTTTTTAAAAGGACAGATTCTCCCACATATACCCCTTTTTATAGACATGTTCTCCAACATGCACCCCTTTATATGGACACGTTCTCCCACATATACCCTTTCGTATAGACAGGTTCTTTCACATACATAAACAGTCCACTTCTTCAAATAGAAAGTTTTGTAGCACATAGCATTAATAATATACCACTTCAGATAAATACTTCACTCTGCATTTACCCTTTCAAACGGATAGTTCACTCCATAACCACCATTTAAGATGAACATTTCACCCTACTTACATAAATACACCAACCCACCCCTTCAGACAAACAGTTTACCCCATGTCCACTTTTTCATGTGAACAGTTCTTTACATATGCACTCCCATCATGAAAGTGTACCCCATATGGTGTCCTAATAATTCATCATATAGTTCACTCCTGTGCATTGGTCCTGATTATTCCCAAGTAATCATTCTTTTCAGTATACAGCTGCACTTGCGCATATACTGTGTACTCAATGCTATATTAGTGACGTTCCTGTGTAAAATGGAATGTCTGGTTTCTGCAGTTTACTCAACCTCCTTTCAGGAACCTATATTTTATTAAGGAATATGCTGTAGTAGTTTTCACTGTCATTTTTTCCTTACTGTATTTTGTCAACTTTTTTTTGTTTGCAGTAAAGCTGTATAATTGCTCTGTTGAACGGCCCGACTGCAGTCGTTGCTTGTCAAACATCACTGCACCACCATCCCTTCAATGTGTTTGGTGTGGCCCCAGTACAGGGTGCACTGTGAATAGACTGTGTGATGATAAAATTTATGTGTGTCCAGCCCCAAGAATCACAAAGGTAGGTATAAGAATAATGTAAACCCATAGGACTGGAGATTTTTCAGTTTCAAGTAGCGTGATGCTCCCTCTGGTGGTCCACCGCAGGGTACTCCCAGGGTTGTGAAACTAAACTTTTTTATTCCAGGACCCTAACTGAGGCTCTAGTCGGGCCATTGTTTCGGACCCCCTGTTGCACATACACCCACTGTCAACAAATTTCTGTGACTACCACTGGGTAGATACCGAGCCCATGGATGTACAAAAGACAGTTGGATAACACTCAGCAAAATATAATAAGATGAGTTAAGAAGGTTCATTTAGTGTTGAGGAATTTCTCCCAACTTGGGATGCATGCTTTTATTTCGACTGGTAATGAATGTTAAGATTTTTTTCAAAGTTCATAAATCAGCTGAAACTATGGCATCTCATTTCATATCTTTTTAAATGTTTAATTCAATGCTTTAATTTTTATTTTTTTTAAAGTTTATATTAGGGAAACCTATAGGTGGTCATAATTACAACCATGAAGCTTAAACCACTCTCACATTTTATTTGAAAATAAGAATGCAACATGCCTAAATTTAGTCATGATGATATCACATCATGACCATATATAGGCACATCATTACCATATATGGGCATACAACAGTTTCTTGTCAAGGAAAATTTTATAGTCTGGACAGATCTTTAAAGAGTGGAGTTCATTTTTGTCATCACTTTTTCGTTTTCAGATAATTCCAAGTACGGTAGCCACTATGGCTGACATAACCATTGTTGATTATGTCACACTGGAGGGCATAGAGTTTGGACAAGATGAAACAGATATTGTATCGGTCAAGATTGGTGGTAAAAAAAGTGAAGTGGTCCATGGCAAATACGAGGTTGGCAAAAGGTGAGCTAGCAACAGTCAATTGTGCTGCAGGTACACAATGTGGTACTGTAGTGTGTAGCACAGTTTTGGGCTTACAATTGAGAGTTAGATTTAAGGCTTCTAGTGGAAGATCTGTTTTGCAGGGGTCCCAAGTCTCCTGGAAGTTACAGGAGTCCCCTGGAAATCAGTACGGCCTCAAATCATGTTTTTCCATTCCTCAGCGTGATGGTCAGTGCCCCGGCGTTTGAAGAACCTATTCCTAGAGAGGTTATCATGCTTGTTAGGGGATCAAACGGCCAGAATAAAAGCAGTGCAGCCTTTATGTTGAATTATAAGGTAACATTTTACAACTGTTTATTGATGTTGCATTGATGGTATTGACAGTGATGGTAATAGTGAAGATGAATGTTGATGATGATCCCAATGATGATAATGGGATTGATGAGGATGCAATAAAATTGATTACGATGATGACAGTGACGATATGCTGGTAGTGATGATGTCAATAATGACTTAATTTATGATGGCACTTAGAGTTAGCATATATTATATGTATTGTTATCTTCTTTTATATAATACTGTATTGCACAATACATTTCTTTTGTAGAGTCCAGAAATTAACAGCTTCTCACCCAATTTGGGCCCACTGTCTGGAGGAGTAAATGTCACTATTTATGGCAAGTTGTTGACAACTGGCTCTGAACAGAAAGTTATGATTGGCGAGTCAGTCTGTAAGAAATGGTAGGCACAGTTGTTATCATTAACACTTCTACTTTGTATTTTCTTATCACTTTTCTTAATACTTACCAGGTTAAACATTTCCAAGGTGTCAATCAAATCTAACTGACCAATCAGTACATGATATTCAATGGATGGGGCAGGGGTATACATATGTGTCACATACATACCCGTTTTACCATTGATAATTTAAGACTTTTGTTTGATGGGACCTTAGCAACCGTATCTAGTTAACGTGTCTTAAGGCGGGCACTCATTGATTCGTATGACCGTTACACGCTGAATCCACCTCTGCTTCCGGCAAACGATAGACAACGTAACAACATCTGCTGATAATTGGTGGCAGTCTGAACGGATCTTCATTGAAAAAGCGATCCGTTGAATTTCCACGCCCTCTCGTGCATTCGTTGTCGCATTGCCGTCACGTCGCAGTCGCGTGTAGAGAGTACCCGGTTTTAGCATTATATTGCATTATATGTAAAACTGATTGCTCACTATTACACTCTGTTCACAGAAGATCTAATTACCCTTACCTCTCAGACAGAGAGGTGAAGGGTATGTGTTTTGTGTCTGTCTGTGTGTCCTTTCTTCTCGGTGGATAACTCAAAAACTACTAGACTGCTGATATACATAAAATTTCACACATTGATAATGTAACATGTATCTCTGTCCTCGAATTTTGTGCTGATCGGAAAGTAAGATGCAGATTTTAGAATGATGCGAATATTTTCTGCCTGCATATCTCACAATCTGCTGTCCCAATTTTGAGACAGATGACATGGAAATAATAATAACATTAAAATTATTATGCTGTAAATGCACAAATAATAAGTTAATTAAAAGTAATCTAAAATAAAAAATAAAAAAAAAAGCCTGAGAGATTTGAATCTTGCACAGTCGAGTAGCATTTCTCATAATACATGCACCTTTACCGCTCGGCTACACTTCACCTGTATAGTTAGACAATGACAATTTTACATGCATTTGCCACAAATTTATTGCTAATCAGAATAAGAATGCAAATTTGAATTTTTTAAAGGATTTTTCATTATATTGGAAAAAAAGGCTACAATGTACATAAATGCCATTATTTTTTCCATACATAAATATGGCGTAACAGGGTGAGAGTTGGTAATCTCAGATTAGGGAGCTTTTGATTTGTGCGTCGACGTGATGCTAGAACGGAATCACTCATGCGTGACCGTCCTACCTGGCGTCCTACGTTCTCTGCATACGTAGATTTGGCCAAATTGTGTTCTAGAATCTATTCGACGAGGTGACCTTAACGTTCTCACATGCGCAGATGACTTTGAGTGACATCATTACATTCTACGTCCTACCATTGTCGTGTAATCGAAAGATCCCTATTATTTTTTAATTATTTTGCCTGGAAATAAGTATAAAATGAAAATGAACTCTAAAATTGTTTGAATATCTTTCTGGTACTTAAAATGTCAATTTGTTTTGTTGATAAATTGAGTAAATGAGAGTTTTTCTATGCATTTTTAGGAACATAACAGGTACAACGATCTGTTGTGAAACAACCAAGTCAAATAGTACTGGATCAAAGGACGTAACTGTAAACTTTTCTCTTGCGAGTAGGAAGGCAAACAACAAATTTGAGTACAAAAAAGATCCTAATGTTACCCGAGTTTATCCCGACTCTTCTATTAAATCGTGAGTAAAAAATTATTTTGTTTAAATGGTAATGGTTGGGGACTTTTAAAATGAGACGTACATATATATATATATATATATACTGTCTCTTATACACATCTTTCTTTCCTAATCTTCCTTCTTCCTGTTATTATATTGCTTTAGTTATTGATAATATAATAAAAATTAATAAACATAGGGCCTAAGGTACTAGAACATAGGCCTTAAGCCTAGGCCTAGAACTTTCGCAAACATCAGTGTGCATTGCATACTCTATTTAATTGTATTCAATCTTCCTATATTCAAAGATGAAGTTAGCTGGCCTTTTGGCAATCTAGGCCACTTTTGGTAGGCTTTCTTCATAAAGGGCTTCTAGGAATGGATGTCTTATTGTGGAGCATGAAGTCAAGTTGTCCCTTCCTGTACTGCCTGATTATAAATCGAAGGAAAATTTACCGATATTTCTATGGCAGCTGTATGCAATGAATGCTTTGTTTATTTTTTTCAGGGGTGGTCGTAATCTAACTGTTGAAGGCTCTGGTTTTGACACGATTCAGAATCCAAAAGTGATTGTCACCGTGGGAGATCAGACTTTTGAAGCGGTACAAACTAAATATGATTAATTTTATCATTGTCAATTCCATCACACTCATTATCATCACATTAATTATCATGACCATTATCGTCATTTTCTTAATTGTCATGTTCGTTATTGTCGCGTTCATTTTTGTTAGTCTATTACCGTCACTTTCATTATCACAATCATTGTCACATTCATTATCATTAATTTCATTATGATTACGTTCATTATCATGTCCATTGCCTTTTTTATAATATTCATGTTTTTCACCTTCATTTTAATTGTGTTCATTTTCATCACATTATTTTTATTATGAGCCCTATTAATTATCATCAAATTATAATTAATCTTTACTCTCTCTTAAAAAGTCTATTTGTTTTCGGTTATTGTTTAGAAATGCAAGGACATGAATAAAACAATGATGGTCTGTCCAACACCAAATGTCTCTTCTCCAACCCAAGAAAAACGAGTAAAGCGTCAGGCAAAGGGTGAGCCTGCTGTGCTGGGGTTCAAGTTCGCAAACGTAGACGATCTTTTGACATGGTCACGTAACAGTGGTTTCCAATTTATTTTATATGAGGATCCAATTTACTACAAGTTTAACAATACCAAGGTGTATGGAAAGGACGTCATAGATGGAGGGGTGTTTGACTTGAGTGAAGGCACAGTTAGTGTCCGTGTAAGTAAAGTAACTGTTTTTTAAGGCTAGACTTTTTGTACCTTGCTTTTTGGGCACCCTCATATCAATTTGTTACAGTAAACGTGCCACCCTATCTCTTAATCATTAGCGCTTCAAAAACATTGACTGATTTTACTACAAAAATCGTAACTCAAAAACTTGAGGTTAGATAAATCGGGTTGAAACGGTTTATAGAAAGTTATAAATACAGCTATTGCAAACAATTTACAAGATATTTGTTTTGACATACTTGGCCTCGTCATTTTTGGGTCGAATTGTTGTAGTGTTGTATAAAAGTGGATTACATATGTCGGATAATCTAACGAAAACCAGGACAACTTTGCATGTTTAAGAAAAACATCAATAATTAATAAAATTTACAGGCTGAAAAGCTAGTTTTAATATTTTAATGTAATTATGTTTATATGATAAAATTTTAACAGATATTATAAAGTTTACATTATATTTTGATGTACATTTGTGAATGTACTCATTGTGTGCAGTCATGCATTACATACTAAACTAGCATATACCGTAGATGTGACGTGCCTAAATATGGTCATGATGACATCACATTATGACCATATATTGGCACATCATCGCTATATATGGACATTTGATAGTGTGTACAGAACTTATGATTGCCTCTTTTGAAATTTTGTTAACAGGGTGAAGGACTGAACTATGCAAGTAAAAAGGAGGATGTCCTTGTTTACGTTGGTGATAAGGAGTGTAAAGTGAATATCTTGTCTTCCGAAGAGCTCCAGTGCAGTGCTCCAAAAAGCGCCCCCAATACAGATCGTTTTGGTGCGCCCACAAAAGATTATCCACTAGTCACTGTAAGTAACAGGATGTTGTATATTAGATACAACAGTGTTATATCAGACATTTTCTTTTTAACATCAAACAAATCTTCTGTCCCATCTATTACCCCTTTCATAAAGATGTTACCGGAAATTATATAATAATATTGACGACTTATTAAGGCGCGATCTCCAAATTATCCCAGACGACAAATCTGCGTTCAGACGTGTTTTCTTCTGTTCTACCAAAACATGTCTGAAAACACTGTTTGAATACCACATCATTTGGACGCTGATATTCCGTTTTGGCCTTTGCTCCTCCCCTTTAACTATGGCCGATTGGATGCACCATAAAACGCGTCCAGACGACTCTCTAAAATGAATCATAATACGACTGACTGCGGACCTATACTCAAGTACGGACTTGTTTACCTACTAGTGAACGTCTCTTTGTACGCTGCCTGTGTGTGGAAGAACTGACAGAAGTACGTAAACTCGGGGAATTCCCTGGTCGATTCTACAAAAATTGTCGGTTGGGTCCTGGAACTTCGTTCAGTAGGCCTAGTACCGTGCATAGATGAGACTATCGTAATATTCAGTGATTTTACGAATCGATGAACAAATATAACGTTAAAAAATCCAATTTTTTTTTAGTTATTTCCGATGTAGTCGCAGCTGTAGCGCGATCACCATCCTGTGCAGCTGTGGTAACATCCATCACAGCAATTAATTGCTCTCCTGCTAAGAATAATAATTGATCCATGCTCCGAAAACGTTGTCCATGATCAAAGTAGATGAAATTTTGCTAAATTATATTTTTACTGTGATTTATTTAACTGAACATACACTTCTGTTTTAGCGGCACACACAAATTTGGTACGTTCAATGTATAAAAGAGAGAAAGAAAAACAACTAAAAATAAGTAATTGTAAAAAAAAATGTTATACCCCGTTTGAAAATGGACAGTTCTAAATCGCCCAGTACTCTACTTGTTTACACACGTGGTTCTGGGCCCTGCTCTCTGCACCCAAGGCTCAACCTCAAGATTGCTGCAGTTTTATTTAAAAAAGGACTCTATAGTTCGATCAGTTAAATAATATATCAAAACTAAAGCTCTTGATTTGTTGTTAATATGACAAGTTATTGTCTTTATCTAAATTTTACTAGTCAACCAAATATACATCTCTCTATTCGGAGGACCTACAGTAGAACTTACAGTAAAGAAAATGCACTGCTGCATAATATACACAGTAGAGAGTAGCCTCAGAAAATTGTGAGTAACCCAGTCATGCGCGAGGATAAAAAAAGATAGGCAGACTACCTACCTAGTTCTAAATTTGATTTTATATTTAGGCCACAATGTAACGCCAACTTACCATGGCACTATATATATAGTATATTAAACGTATGTTTGTGATTTGTAATACCAATGTACCCTCCTTCACTTTTGCAAACGAAACGGCAGCGCTATTTTTAGAGTCGCGACGTAGTTCTATCTATAGAGCTGCGTACAAAGCCAGTTCCAATGGAACTCGCATACTGCGCCCTGAACCTCCATTTACGTTGTCATCATGTAATTTACAAATCTTCATATAAGCATAGAGAAAGTATAGCCACGTATATAAAAGAATAGGAGCTGCATAGTAACATTTATTTGAAATGTCAGTATTTTTACGCACTCAAGTGGGCCAGTTGACCGTGCTAGTAGTAGTAAACAATAGAAAATCGTTCAAACGATCAACAAGCGTCCAAACGATTTGCCGTTGTCCAGACCCGCGCTGTAATTCAAGTGTGTAGCAAATGAATATTCATAAAGCGTAGTAATTAGAAAGGTTGATTTTTCAGACGCGTTCGCGATAGGGTGTTGACCTAGACGCGTTTTTGCCGTAGATCGCGCCTAATGTATTAGCCACTTACTATGTGAAAGGTTTGGTAATAATTTGTCAGGTCCCACCACCAGCTTATGAAACGCCTATAGTAAAACAGAAAGAGTAAATTCGTTATCTCTGTCTCCCATTGCATCGCATTTCTAAAATTAATACGGTTTGCCCGAACAGCGAGGAGGGCGTATCCCCATACTGCGGTTTGGGTGCTGGCTTGGATTTTTTTTTTTTTTCCTCCGTTACACCTGCTTACTTGTTGTGCGCATAGAGACTCTCGTATTTTGCGCAATATAAATGAATAACCTTTAATTAGAGAGCAGCTTAGCTCAGTCGGCTAATCTGGTGGTAGCCGCTGTGTGTGCGCTGAACCGTGGAGATCTCTAAGTCCCCGGTTCAATTCCCATCGCTGCCTCTCCTTGTGTTTCAGCTAGAGGGCTGAAATACAAGTTACAATAGTGCACCGTCTTTTTCGGATGAGACATTTAGGCTGTTGGTCCTGTGTGCATTATGGCCCATGTGCACATTGAAGAACGCAGTACACTCTTCGGAAAAGAGTAGGGGATTGTCTCCCGGTGTACTGCCCAATCACCACCAGAAGGACCCCACTGGAAATAAGTCTTTTTCTAGACTTTCATGGACTATCCTTGGTGTTTACACCGAATAAATCCAATCCAATCCAACCTTTAACCTTTAATATTCCGAGGGGAATAGACAACCATCAATGTTTCTGGCACTCTGGTGGCTTTTCTACAGACAGAAATCAAATCAACAATGCTTATGCAGTATCACCATATAGAGTAGGCGGTTTGCTCTGAAAATGGCTTTATGTTGAAAATTGGACAAAGCTCAACTTAGTTTGACATAAATGTTCATTTTGTGTATACTTGGTTTTAACAACCAACCTACAATTCCCTTCCAGTCATATTTTGCCATTGAGAGACAAACACCTTAGTAGGAAAATTGTCTGTTTTGTTGAACCAATTAGTTGCATATCCTTGCAACAGGTTCATCAACTGCTTTGGTCACTTTTTGATCACCACTGTTAAGATAAGCAAAAACAACAGATTATCTTCTTACTATAGTTTATGATACCAGATGAAATTCTTCAAGAAACTTCAACTTGATTTTCTATTCTTTAATTCCAAAGGTCGTTCATGGCAACCTGGAGGTCATAATTGGACCAATCAAATACCCTGAGATTCAGTTGTGGTTGTTTGTGTTAATTGGAATCGCTGGGCTTATTTTGCTGATTTTTGTCTTAGTTGTAATTATCCACTTCTACCATAAAACCAAAATGATTGAGAAGGATAAAGAACGAATGCTGGAGGAGATGGAACTATTGGAAGAGAGTGTACGCGAAGACAGCAGACGAGGTAAAAAGAGATATTAACATAAATGATATCTCTTTTAAGCTACCGTATATTCTCACGCATAAGACAAGGTTTAAAATGGCAAATTACAATCGAAAAGCAAGGGGGTGTCTTCTATGTGCAACCCATACAAATATTTGAATTTTTAAATCGTGCGTCTTACGTGCAGATCGCCTGTAACACGCTCATTTACTATTGACCTAAAACTACTAACTGTTAATATGATTGAATGCAATATTTTAATATGGGGAAATAAGATTTTGATGAACATTTAAAAGCCCATAAAATAGTATTATTTGGAAGATTGGCCTTATATTTGGCTCCGTTTTTAACCAGCTAGATGCAGTATTGAGACCATGAAAAGCAGCATAAATTAGGAATACTGACGATGAAACATGAGGTCGTCTTATATATCCGACATACAAAAATCATCCAAAAATTTTCTCAAACTCAGGGGTTATCTTATATGCAGATTGCCTTATACTTGAGTATACATTATAACTACTTACTGAAAGGAAAAATTCCTGCTTCTTATGGTGAAGGTCCAAGTTAAGCCCTGTCCAGACTATCAAATTTTATTTTAGAAAAACATATGACATGCCTAAATATGTTCATGATAACATCACATCATGACCATATATAGGCACAGCATTACTATATATGGGCATATTGTTTTTTGTTTGATAAATTTGATAGTGTAAACAGAGCTTAAGGTGGGATAAATGACGTTGTTTCTGTAACTTGTTGGTACTAGCAATTGAAAGCTAAAATACATAGGTAATTCTAATATTAAATTTGGGAAAAAAAAACCACAGAATGTATTTCAAATCAAATCAGACTTTATCTTTTTCAAATCTGGGAAAAAAAATATTCTTGTATTATATTTGAATCTTGTGAATCTTTGTTTATTAGCCATTGCTGAATTAACTACCAACCTGGATGATCTAACCACGGAGCTGGAAGGAACTGGTATGCCGTTCTTATCAATGCTGGATTATATGAAGAAGATGATGTTTACAGGGTACGAACAGGTCCCTGCCGACTTCGGATCAGATGTGAGTTGACCTTCCAACATGAATGTGGCTCAATTACATGAATATAAAAATGATCATGATTTATACGTTTAATCCTCTGTGCCAGAACAAATGTAAACATACTCCATTTCTAATTCATTTATTGGCTGGCATAGTAGCACAGCTATGAAGTTTTCTAACATCATGAGAATGACACTTTATGGTAAAATGGTCTTAGCTACTACAATGATAATATTTACTATGTTAGTTCTAATTATTATTTAAAAATAATTTACTTTATTACAATTTTAATTTTGTTTCTTTTCTTTCTGATTAGCCCCAGGAATTTTATCCGAATGCTCATGGTCTTAAAGAATTCGCCAAACTCCTCAGTAAGAAAGACTTTTTACTATCATTTATTGAAATGGTTGAAGAGAGCAAGAACATAAGTAAGAAACAAAAGTGAGTCCCTGTTTATTATTATTTTGTCTATCTCATAAATACTAAAGACCAACTTGGACAGTGTCGTTAATCCTGCCTGATACAGTTTATATCGTCAGAGACAGACTTAGTCACTGTAATAATGTTAAACACATTCTATGATGCAACTGTCCTGGAGGTAGTCTTACGACCCATCATGTCTGCATTTCACTCGCACAGACCTAATGTGACTATTAACCGCATATGGGCTGCGTCATGCTACAGTATCCGAGTTGGCTTTTACCTCGATGAACCGATACTAATACTGGATTGACACATAAAGAAATCCAGGAAAATATAATATAAAGCATGAAATACAACTCCATGGTAACATGTCCTAATCAGCTCATTGCAGTACATTATTTTGATGTGTCTAGAGGTATGGTACCTTATGCTGTCTCAGTAATGGTAAAGAAGGTTAAGGTTGGCAACAGCTGGGGACACTATTACCAGGATGGCGTACGGCATCATATTCCTAGCGTTTGCCAACATTTGTGCATACCCTTCATATTTCATTCTTTTATTTCCAGAGGAAACTTTGCTTCGTTGTTAACGGTCGGAATGATAGCAGAAAAAAAATTGCCGTACTTCACAGAGTAAGTAAATTCTGATTGGTTTATAGTGCATCTAAAATGTTAAATATACACATTATAATATAATACAGCTCTCCCTCCAAAACCACTTTTGGGACTAGGGATTCCATGGTCTTTTTGTAGCTTTGCTCTCAAATTAGAATAATAAACATAAGTCATTTGTTAACTTGGGACCACAGAAAAGTGGTCTTTAATTGGAGGGGTCTTTAATTAATAGAGGGAGACCTGTATAATATTTACCTGTCAAAGAATGAAATATTTAGTTAAAAATAAAATAGACTAAATATATAAACCAGGTATCTTACCAGGTAGCCATGTACCTGTAGATGAAGAGCCTGCCCAAGTGAAATGCACAATTTGAATTTATGTAAATTATATAATGTGGGGTTTGCATTACAGGGTGCTAACATCGTTACTAGAGGGCTACATCAGTGATGGAGTAGCCTGCAAACGCGGCAAACTATTATTTAGAAGGTAAGAATAAATATTGATTATTATTAACTACTGCATGATTTTTTTTTTATTGTAATAGTAATGTTATAATTATTCTTTTATTAGATTGTAATCCAGGTTAATATTATGAACTGATATGCAAATTGCTGTTTGGTTTTTAGGACTGAATCAGTGACTGAGAAGCTGCTTAGTAACTGGACTGCCTTATGCATGTATGATCATCTTAAGGTAATTCTTGTCTTAACATAATATATCATTATAGCTTACCTAGCTTAGCCTAATTAGGTTAGTGCTTCAAAACATATAATTATTATTTGTTACCATAGGAATCATATTTGTTTTCACCATTACCATCTATCCATGTTGATTATTAATGATTATCATCATCATCATCATCATCATCGGGTGTGGAGAAAATATTGCTGCTTCTGATTATGAAAATATACATCTATAAAATTCTTCTATCATCAAACATTATTTCTAAAATATATACAGTAAAACCTTGAATTGAATCCCTGGGCTTTTGTTTGTGAACTTTGAATAAGTTTCTTTTTTGAAATGGGCTTCTTTTTGAAGCCACTTTTGCAAAATGAATGCTGTAGAATTTTGGAATTACTACTATAAAACAATAAATAATGCCACTGTAATCGCCTAAACTATATAAACCAAGCATGTTTTTAATTTACTTTGTTTCTTTAAAATTCATGTATACCGTATGTACTGTACTATCTCGAAAGAAGCCTTTGCTATCTTCTTTTCGAAGCTGATTTACAAACTAAAGAGGGACTTCAATTTGAGATGGGCTTCTTTTTGAGATTTAGCTTATTGGGCTTCAATTTGAGGTGCTCTGACCACTGGTTGCGCTCTTTTTCCAACCCTCTTCATCATCAATGTTATCACCATTATCAACATCTTTAGCATCACCTTCATCAACATCATATTCGTCAGCATCATATCTTTATCAACATAATATTCATCAATATCATCATTGCCATCTTTGTTGCAACCGTCGTTTTTTTTTGTCGCCATCTACATGTCTACGACTAAAGCTGTAGGCATCCTGATTACAACAAAAACACTCATCGATTTGATCAATATTTAATATACTTCATTTGAATGTTATGGATGATTAGGATTAGGAGCCTGTGGCGCAACGTGTAAAGGCGCTTGTCGCATTGCTTGTGTCCTTGGGCAAGGCACTTTACTTGCGCTTGCCTCTCTCCACCCAGGAGTATAAATGGGTACCTGGTAGGATGATGTGGCTTTGGTCTGTATCGGCATTAAATTGTATGCACGACTGGGAATACTCCTCATGGAGTGGAGGAGGTTGCACTTTGTGCTGGTTTGATCATGGATCCGATGACCAGGGGTAATAATAACAACATTGCCAGCACCTTGTATCCCTTGGCAAAAGGCGCGGTATAAATCTCTATATTATTATTTTCTTTCGTGTAGGATCATGCAGGCTATCCTCTTTACTTATTATACCAAGCCATTAAATGCAAGGTATGGAAGGGACCTGTTGATGCTGTTACCTTCAAGTCGTACCACTCGTTAAGTATAGACTATCTCTTCAAGGATAATGTCGATTTTGATGAAATAGTGAGTACATTTAATCAAATTCTTTAATATTTATTTACCTTCATTAACATTTTTTTCTTTCATATTTGTATGACACACTGTGATGAATGATTCTATAATTTATTTTCTAGGGGTGTTTTGATTAAGGAAACATTAGCAATATTTGGTTTATACATATACCTAATTCTACATCACCGTTAATGTGTTTATATTACAAATATTTTGTATGAGAAATTTTCCAGCTGGTTGTTCATTCTTGGAAATTGCACCCAACAGTTTTGTCTGATTGTTTTTGGAGACTTTATTAGCTTAGTAATACTGGTGCATATTATCTCTTGGGTATTACATGAAACATTGCAAGTGTATGTAATATTTTATTTTTAGCTCTGATGAGGAGCTCTAGAAACACTTGGCTGATTGATTAATAGATGTTTTTAAGATCTACTGCCTCCTATACTGCCCTCATGGGGAGCTCTAGAAACACTCGGCTGATTAATAGTCGACTGATTAATAGATCTTTTTGATCTCTACTGCCTCAATTATACTGCCCTCATCGGAGCTTTCGAGAGAACGTGAACTTGTTTTGTAATAATGTGGCTTTACTACCATGTTCGTTTTAAAATTTCTTCTAGAAATTAAATGTTTCAATGGATAAATCTGACGAAGAGATGTTTAGTGTAAGCGTTCTAACATGTGATTGTATCTCGCAAGTAAAAGAGAAGATTTTAGATGCTATGTACAAAAGCAGACCATACTCCAGTAGACCCTCGGCTTCCAGTGTAGATTTAGGTGAGTGTAATGTCAAATGAGTTGTACTTAATTTTATCATATTTAACGATGCAGTTTGCTCTGTAGACCTTGTATTTATGTTTTTATTTATTTCTTGTTTAACCCGTGTTAACTCAGTTGAGATTAACTGTTATCCTAATGTGCCCGGGATACGATACACAAAAATGGGCGGGTCGAGTGGCCGAGCGTAAGGCGGGGGCACCGCCAGCTACAGCCTTAACATCGGTGCCGATTTCAGCCGCTCCTTCACCAGGGTTCGGTTTTTAGAACCAAGTATTCTCGGATATTGACTTAAAGTGGAGGCCCAGTGTATACATCTGGCTCATGTGCACTTTAAAGAACCCATTGCAAATAATTTAGTAAAATAAAGAAAAAAAGCAAGATTGATTAAAGATTATCTGCTCCCTTGAAAAATAAACTGTTGGTCATCAGTGTATAAAAGCACATGTGCTGTAAAAGAACTTCAAATAGTAGTAGAATTGTCTCCTGGTATAATGTATTCTCCAAAAGCAGCCTTCACACTGATCCAAATTTTCGGATCGAAAGGCCTACCGAACCGATCAGAAGAATAGAGATGCTGGCCTTTAATGCATCGGAAATGCTGTCCGCATTTCGGTTAAGATCCAATACAGCTGCAGCTTTAGGCACTGCACTTCGGCTGCTTTGGGCTCCCAAGAGCCTAATTAAATTTGTTTAAATTTCTACATGAATCATATATGCATTTACATTTTTTTCGTATATTTTTCCAGATTTAAGGGCAGGGAACCAAGGTCACCTTGTTTTGTCAGACCTTGATAACACTTCCAAAGTTACAGGCCACTGGAAGCAACTTAACACACTTCGTTATTTAAAGGTAGGTGGCGCTGTGCAAATACTGTTTCTTGCTTTCGGTTGTCTTGTTGCGGACACACCATGAAGACGCATATACTTGACACCTTGTTGATCTGAAACATACACACTTCATGGTAAAATTGTAAGAAGCCCTAAATATTCAATCAAAACATTGCTCAGTTAAAATTATCACATAAGCTACCAACATTCAGTAAGACCCATTTAAAGTCTTATCCACGCTATCAACTTTTGTGACAAATTTGTGTGATGTGCCCATATAATAATAATAATAATAATAATAATAATAATAATAATAATAGATAAATTACATTTCTTTTAGGCAAATGATAGTATGTAACAGAAATTATGTTTGAATTATTTATTTATTTTTTTGTTTAATTTTAGACATATGACTTTAATATACAATCAGTAATCATTGTTTTAAATAGTGATATGCTTGAAACTTGTTTATATTATTCGCAAGTTCGAACCTGGCCAAAACAGTTACTAATGTGGAAGTTTCACTAAATAATACTTTTTAATAATATATAACTGACACAAATGAATTCATCATACAGATAAATTAAAAATAACAAAAATAAAATGCAAACAGCCAATAACATTTTACACAAAATACATGTCCACACATAAAAATATATGTAAATGATGTGTATATACTAGATATACATTATTTACATGTGTCTGTGTGTGTCCCTGGATGTGAGGGTATGTTTGGAGGTGTGTAATTTAATATTGTTGTCATTACAGCATTTTTAGAATCCTATGTTGATTGCATGAAACACTTCAATGTACAATATTATTCATTAATTTTTGTATTGTATATTGTTTTCTGTTGATTTGTTTTTATTTATAACCCTTTAAAATTAATTTTGCAATCTGAAATTTGACTTGATTGTTAACAGCTTGCTCATTTTAAAGAATCATTTTAAAAATCTGAATACTTAAACTTAAACTTCAATAAATTTAATATATTTTTTAAAAATCAACATTGTAAATTAACACCTTTGGATAATTAAGTAAAATTGAATGAAATTATAAAGAAGTTCATAAACCAATAAAATGATTTTTAACTTGATGTCATAGATAATGAATGAAAATGATAATAAACAAAATAATAATGATAGTAATTAATAACTCTGTACAATGTTTTTGGAGAAAAATGTTCTGTAAAATGCTGATATATATAAATATTAGAAGGTTGATTACAATTATGTTTTAAAATATTCTCTTTGTTTTCTTTATCATAAAAAAATTGCATTGCACTTTTCTTGGTTTGATTTTGTTTGTAAATGCCGAAATATCCATTTTATGCTTGAAACAAACATTTCTGTGTGTGCTTTCACCATTTTTCCTTTTGCAGCTATTTCCGCCGCTCCTCATCCTCCATTTTTGTTTTCTTTCCACGTTTCCATGCATTTCTTTCACTATGGTTTAGATAAAGAATGGCGCTCTAGTTGCACTAGTTCCAAAGCAGGAAGTAGCCAATGCTAAACCTTCATCTGTTTTTATTAGTCCTACAACGGTTGGACAAGTAGGTGAGTGAGTCCTGTGCTTAGCCAATCAAAATCTGGCTTAAAAATGCTTTTGTCTCAATATCATTGCACTTCTACAGACACTAGTGACTACCACTAAAGTTTGATATCGTAATTTGGCGGTCCAGATATTTTCTTCAGTAAGTATTATTGAATCAGCTCACACTATATATGAATTCAATAAAATTATAGTTTAATATTTAGTTTTCAAGTTTTGAAAATTTATTTAAATAATGCATGATTTGATTTTTTTTAATTTGAAAGACTAAAACACCTACTGACAAGAAGTAGTAGGCTAGACACGGTTTCAGACTTTAGTGCGGTTTTTTTTTTAGTTATGTGGTTGTGCAGTGTCATATTGAGGATAAGGATAGAGCCTGGTTTTGAGACTATCCATTTTTTTTTCTGCTTGCACCTCTTATTCAACATTTTGCATTACAAATGCTGCATGGTTTGTACCCTCTATTCTTAGATGCTTGTATCTAGAAGGGAGAATTTTCCACCAATGCATGTTTTTGCTTCGGTTGCATGCTACCAAGGTCAAAGGTCATTGTAATAGGATTTATTTGATGATTTTAAACATTTTTTTAAATTTGGTTCATATCTTATATATTATGATATATACTACAAATTTTAAAATAGTTTTTTTGGATAATTAAAAAAAAAAAAAATTAAAGGATATTAAAAAAGGTTATCTCAAATAATCTTCCTATGCACGTTCTCCTTGATTCCCCTGGAACCGATACAATAACTTGCAGTGGTAGGAAAGGGGTATGCATGGTGTATGGCAGAGGATCTCAGAGATGATTCTCTAAGACAATTTCCCTCAATAGATTAAAGATGGTGCCACTGTATCGCTGCTTCACCGGGCAAACGGACGGCATAGCGTCGCTATAGGCGATATCGTCACGAATACGAACCCGTTGTACGGTGAGAATACGCATTTTTTCCAATTCAATAACTTTATTGATCAGAACATTTATTAAATTTGATCTGTTTTATGACAAAGAAAACAGAAGGTATTAAGCTGATTGATGCTCTACCAGCCTGATCAAATCGTGACAGTTGAACACTTGGGAGGTTGTAAGAAGCGGTACAGTGTTCTACTGGCACCACTTGATCATCTTGTACCAGTAGAACATTGTACCGCTTTTTACAACTTGCAAAGTGCTAATTATGATGCATACTGAACACATTGGAATGTATCAAAAACTCTTTGAATTGTATCTTATTTACAAATACCAATCCAGATAATTTCTAAATCTATAAAATCACCTTTTTCTTTTCCTCTTACATTTATACTATATATACAGTCGAGTCCGCCAAAGTCGACTCTGTTTAAGTCGAAAATTCGCGTCAGTCAAATTTTTGAAAAGTCCCAATTCTTTCCTATGTATTACTGTGTAAATTGTTTGTTTAATTCGAATTTTTATAAGTCGAATTTCGGCTATATCAACGGAATTTTCCTGTCCGGATAGGCCGATTTTAAAGTAATTTCAACCACACAAGTCGAAGTTCCAAATTTATTAGCGCATGTGGGAAAAATACACAGCCGTGGGAAAATACGAAGTTCAATCATTGTTGTACGGCAACAAGTTAGCCATGTCAAACTAACATCTCAGACAGCGCGCTGTGGAACTTGGCTTACATGATCGTATGTCGTAAGTTGCAGTCTACTCTCACAATACAGACACCCTTCCGGACCGGCTCCAATGTTCAGTTTTAGTCCAGTTTAGTTTGTAAAACTTGTACTGAACCCATTTCGAACAAGATTGTTGTAGTCAGGGCCTAGCTATTTAATTAATTTATCAAAGCCCTGGATTCTTTTGACTGCCTAGCCTACGCAAATTCAACACATTATTTTAATAATTTGCGTGCATTTCTTTAGGTCTGATTATGTTTTTCCAAGCACACATTCTTCGTTGGGCAATGCCACTTGCTGGTCGGCAGTCTAGTTGTAAACAGAACAGGTCGCGCCCCCAAAAACTCTTCCTTCCCGCCAATTGGTCCATTTTCGTGGGGTGTTTTGCAGACTAGACATGTGCTTCGGCTGTGATGACGTCAGAT